CAGCTCTGCCAGAGGCTCCGCCCCCAACAAGTAGAGCAGGGGGGACAGCGAGCACCCTTGTCTTGTGCCCCGTCCCAAAGGGAATCTGTCAGAGTTCAGTCCGTTAGTAGTCACCATGGCATTTGGATGAGAGTATAGTGATTTGATCCATTTAATAAAGTTTGGGCCCATGTTGAACTTCTCTAAGACTGAGAACAGAAAGCTCCACTCCATCCTGTCGAACGCCTTCTCAGCATCCAGTGAAGCCAGCAGGACAGGGGTCTTCTGTGCGTTTACTTGATCAATAATATCAAAAAGACGGCGAATGTTATCAGAAGAGTATCTGTCTCTAATAAATCCCGTCTGGTCCGCTTTTATTATTTTGGGAAGAAGAGTGTTTAGTCTTTTGGCGAGCAATTTGGTGATTATTTTGTAGTCGAAATCCAACAAGCTTATGGGCCGGAAGGAGGAGCAGGATAGGGGATCCTTGTCTTTTTTGAGCAACACTGTAATGCGAGCTGTGTGCATTGAGTCTGGGAGAACTCCGTTTTTGCAAAAATCCTCCAGCATTGGCATGAAAATAGGGCTAAGCTGGGGCCAAAAAGCTTTGTAGAACTCTCTGGGGAATCCATCTGGGCCTGGGGACTTGTTAGGTGGCATGGAGGTAATTGCCTCCAGGATCTCCTCAGGAGTGAAGGGGGAGTTGAGATCTTCTTGGTCGGTCTCTGATAGTTTAGGTAGCGAGATTCCCTCTAGGAAGGAGTGGAGTTCTGCCTCCGTGTGTTTTCTCTCAGAGGTATATAGTTTGCAGTAAAAATCATGAAAAGTTAAATTGATCTTTTTTGGATCATATGTGACCTCATCCTCTGCTGTTCGGATAGCCATAATTGTACGCTCTGACTGCTCTTTTTTTAATTGATAAGCAAGCAATCTACTAGGCCTATTGCTATACTCATGGTATTTCTGTTTAGTAAAGAAAACTTTTTTTTTAATCTCCCGAGTATAGTCCAAATTCAGTTTGGCTTTGGCTGCTTTAAGTTGACTCCAGGAGGTGCTGTCTGGGGATTGTTTATGTACTTTTTCACAGCGTTCCAGCTCCCTCTCCAGATCTAGCCTGTGTGCTTCCATTGCTTTTTTCTTAGAGGAAGCATATGCAATTAGATGACCTCTTAGTGTGGCTTTAGCAGCGTCCCACATTGTGGCCGGAGAAACAGGAGAATCTTTGTTGTCTTGTGTGTAGTTGTCTATCCATGTAGTTACCAATGTATGGAATGCTTCGTTTGATAGCATGGAGGTGTTGAATTTCCAGCTCTTTGATCTCGGGATGTTTTTGCAGAGGTCAAAGCGGAGGTGGACAAAGGCGTGATCCGAAAGCGCTATGGGTCCGATTGTACACGTGGCTGAATTTATGAAACTCTTTGGGATAAAAATGTAATCTATACGGGAGTAGGTGTTATGGACATTAGAGTAGTATGTATAGTCCATAGCTGAGCTATTAGTCTCTCTCCAGATATCTATCAGTCCCATCTCTTTAGTAAGAGAGTTCAACATCTTTGCAGATCTAGGATTTGTGGTGGTGATTTGAGATGATTTGTCTAGGGTTGGGTTCAGGGTACAATTAAAATCTCCGGCCAACACTCCAAAGGAAACACAATGCTCATTGAACAGAGTTATCATTTTCGACATAAAAGCAGGAGTATCTGTGTTAGGGGCGTATATGTTTAAGATAGTAATTGGTTGCCCATACAGTGACCCAGTTATCAAGATAAATCTCCCCTCCGGATCAGATATGTTTTTGTCAATTATGAATGGAACATTCTTATGGATAAGTATTGCTGTACCTCTGCTGTTGGATTTGAAAGATGAGAAATACACCTGTCCCACCCAAGCTCTGCGGAGTTTGGCATGTTCAGCATCACAGAGGTGTGTCTCTTGCAATAGCGCGATGTCTGCTTTTTCCTTTTTTAGAGCACATAGTATCTTTTTTCCGTTTTATTGCATGGCCTAGACCGTGGCAGTTCCATGTCAATAGATTTAAGGTACTAGTCATCGTCATCGAACAGTAATCGAACTTTAGTGCAAGTCATCTCTGGGTAAAGGTGGATCGTAGTTACAGCTGCGTTCACATAAAAGGAAAATAAATGGTTTACATAAAATAACAATCTCTGAACACCCCAGCCGAGTTCCCAAACAACTCGACATATCCCGTTGGATCTATTACCTCCCCGCTCAGTCACAATTCTGTGTTCCAACAAAAAAAAAGACCGGGAACAGTTAGCAACGCACAACGTCTCCCCCTCCCCACCAGAGAAATGCCTCATCCTCTCCGCCCGCATTGAGTAACTGACAACGTAGCCCCCGTCCAGACCACATTAAGAAAGGGAGAAAATAAAATCAATAGCCCAGCCTACATACAGTAGGCCTAAGTTATAATATGGGGCCTATCCCTCTCAGCTAAAGGAACATAAATATAGATTGGACGGCTATAATGAAATTTAGCAGGGCGGTGGGTCTTTGGATATCGGCTATATGTTGTCTTACCTCCTTTAGTAATAACAGTAATCGCATTAATCGCATTTAGTCAATGGTCCATTTCTCATTGACCGGGGTTGTCTTTCAAAAAACGTTTTGCCTCTTCGGGAGTTTTGAAGTGTCGCAGGGCTCCTTGGTGAAGAATCCTGAGCTCGTTTGGGTATTTGAATCCCCTAAAGATGCCTCGGTCAATGGAGCATTTCTTCACCTCGTCAAACTCTCGGCGCTTTCGGCGTATTCCAGCTGACAGGTCCTGGAGTAAGGTGAGTTTGGTGTTTCCCACTGTAATGGTGTTGGTTTTTGCCGCCTGTAGGACTCGTTCCTTGTCGGTGAATCTCAGGAAACGTATGGTGATTGGGCGCGGTGGTTGTCTGGCTGCTGGTGGGGGCCTCAGTGCTCGGTGAGCTCTCTCGAGTTCTATGGGCCTGTCGGTGGACAGGTGGAGCCACTCGGGAAGTTTGTCTTGCAGGTAGCGGATCAGTGGCATGTTTCCCTCTTCTTTTTCGCCCAGATTTAATAGAACACAATTATTCCTTCGCCCCCTGTTTTCCAGGTCCTCTGTTTTCTCTTCCAGCTGCTCTATTTTTTTTTTAGCATATGCTATTGTTTCCATGGCGTCTGTCAATAAGTTTTCCGTGGATAGGATTCGCCCCTCTGCCTCGTCCAGGCGCCCCGCGTTTATGGTTATCTTGTTGTTTATGTCAGGCAAGGCATTTTCCAGGATTGTCACCTTGCCCCCTATCGCACTGAGCTGAGCGTTAATGGCATCTAGTTTAGTGTTGAGTTCTGTACGTTGGGATCTCAGCTCAGAAAAGATGTCTTCGACAGAGTGCGAGGTTGGCATTCGTTGGGCCTCGGGGGGGGACGGGTCCTCTTTCTCCTGGCTAATGGCGCTAGCTTTTTCTGAAGCTAGCTGCTTCTTTGAGGCTTTTTCCGTCGCTAGTACTCGAGTCCGGGTAAAAATGTCCCCAGTAGTGTTGCCTTTTGAAGCCGCCATGACTTTTTGACTAAAGCTAAATGAGTTTAAACTTGAAGTGGAGGTAAGATTAGGAATTGGAAACTACTTGTGCGGAGCTCCTAGTTCATGCGGCCATCTCGTTCAAGGGTCACGTGATCTCCATTTTCAGATTCTTAAATATCATACTTCTCCAGTCTGCAAACATTTGACACATGACCATATCCTTTAGAATTCCCACACTGTAATGGTTTGGACACATGCTCTCACCTCACAAATCTAAGCTTCACATATTCAGGTAGTCTCCTCAAACAATAATATTAATAGGCTTTTCTCCTTCCTTCCATTTACCATACGGGTCAGGCGATGTGCACTGACCACTCCTGGGATTTTCTGACTAAGGTACTCGTCATCTATATCCAACGAGAATCCAGCTATAACTCCTTTGGCAGGCGCCCTGCTCCGAATATCAATACATGTTACTTCTGACGTGGACAATTTTGCCAGATCCAGTGCATGCTTCTTCCGTTCTTCATCAACACAATTAACCAAAACAAGGCCGCTTCTAGTCACCTTGATTGAATCCACCTTTCCCACTGCTTTCTTCACAGTCCTGGATATTACAAATGGATTTCCCAAATGAATCTCCTTGTCCAAAAAACGCAGTCCAATAAGAAATGCATTATGGGACCCGTCCTTGTCTTCTGCTACAACTTTTACTCATTTTGTTCCGTTCTTTTATTTCACTGATTTCCATTCATTATCACACTTCACTTGCTGCACTTTCAGATTCAAGCACAGTCGCCATTTCCTCATTCCTCTTTCTATGACATCATGGCGGTCCGCAAACAATCATTTAAGTGCATGCCGCCACCTACAGTGCTAGAATGTACAATCAATCATGATCTGCCCAATTCTGTACTACCATGAAAACCAAAACAAGTAAACTTCTACCAAATGCTGCACTATGTTCCCCCCACAATGACAACACAACCTTCACATTGCTCCCACATGCACCGTAATCATGTTCCCCTCCACACTTGGCACATCTTTTCCTTCCTTTACATTTTTTGTACCACTATGTTGTGTTGCTACCGTGTTGTGTTGTCTTGGGTCTCTCTTTATGTAGAGTAGTGGTGTCTCTTATTGTGATGCATGTTTTTGTCCTACATTAAAAATATATATATCCCGTCCCCATAGGAGGCCTTTTGCCTCTTGGTAGGTCTTCATTGTAAATAAAAATGTGTCCTTAATTTACTTGCTGGCATGAAACTGAAGAAAACAGTCTGGAACATCCAGGACTTGTCCAATAAGAATCACTAATTTGTTTCAAAAGGTTTTGCTACAGTGTGGCCTAATGAACACTACCTGGGTTTTGTTTCGAGATGGTGATATCATTTAGTGATAGGCCTAAATGGGTTGGTTGTCGTTGAGTAATTACCCGGTTCCTCACGTGAATAGGAAGGCCATGTCCGCAACATCATGACAGACTGGGAAGAGGCGCTTTAGCAGCCTGACCACAAGGCAAGGAGCCATGGAATGGTTACAGCAGCTACCTTCCCCTGAGCACCTTGAACAGGTGAATGGGGAAACTAGGATTACGCTTGGGGCTAACCGCACAGGCGCACTGCCCCTGTGTGGCCCAAACTCTCCACAGACCCTGGACACAGCAGCTGATATCATATGGACTGCACAGGAGGTGGAGGCAGTGGGCTCTGACTTTGGAGACCTGCTGGGGGTTGTTGAGGGCAGTGGGGCGGAGAGGTCGAGGTCCCCCATCTCGATGGTATCAAGGAATGGGACTGGCAGCCAACAGAATGGAGGGGAAGAGGAGAGACTGGAGAAGGTGAAGACCAGCCACAGCAGACAAGACAGTCCAGCTGCTGCTACCAACTACACAGGTAAGAGTACATTTAAATACATGTGGCGTTGGTTATATTCGAAATAAGACGCTAAGCGGGAGGTGATGTGCTTCACTGTAATGTTTTGGACTTATAGTGAATACATCAGCAGAGCATATGGGTACGTCCTGGTCCAAGATCAGTTTTAGCTGTCTTGTTGCAAACTGCTATTGTCGTTGGCACAAACAGATTTGGGTTGAGGTGAGGGTGATACGAGTCTGTACAAGAATGTCCTCCTATTAATCGTCGTGATGCTCAGATGGGTGTTGTGTGTGTGTGTCTCTCTCTGTGTGTCAGACCTGTCTCGCACGTCATCTGCCTCACTGTCAGAGCAGCTGTGTTTGGGCCGGGACGAGGCCACCGGCCCTGGGATCAACGTGGAGTGTAGGATCTGTGGGGACAAAGCTTCAGCGTTTCACTACGGTGTGCATGCTTGCGAGGGCTGCAAGGTGAGAGCGATTCCGCCGATCTACCAATGGGTCTTCTTCATCAGAAAAACATTAGCCTAATGTTCTTAGGTCTTAAATCTTGGAGGTTTTGGCATGGCTGCTAACATCCTCAACCAGAGCTTAGCTTGAGTTTAGTTTGTGTCCTGTGTGGCAGCATTCCAGCCATTGAAGTTAGTTAACCTGAAACTCAAGTTCATTGACCACCTCTGTCTGTGTGTGTATCATGTGGTCCAGGGCTTCTTCCGGCGGACCCTTCGGTTGAGGCTGGAGTATGAGCGCTGTGAGAGAGCCTGTATGATCCTGAAGAAAAACCGTAACAAGTGCCAATACTGTCGCTTCCAGAAGTGCCTAGCCCTTGGCATGTCACATGATGGTGAGAATAGGACTGACACTGGTGGGAAAGTTTGAATATGATACTTTGACACATTACAAGCTGCTTAATGTAACAATTTCATTACCTAGTTACCAGTATTTCAATATTCTCAATAACACATCTTGTTTTTCTTCTCAGGCATATTTACTTACATTCACACACGCATCATTTGGGTTATATAGATCAACATTGACTGTTTATTTTTTGTACTTTAATGCTATCCTGTCTGTTTCCCCAGCGATCCGTTATGGGCGTATGCCGGAGGCTGAGAAGAAGCTTATGGCTGGCCTGCTAGCTGAGGAGCTAGATACCCAACACCCTGGAGGCTTGGACCTCAAGACCCTTACTAAACAGGTGTACCAAGCCTACCTGCAGAACCTCATCATGACCAAGAAGAAGGCCCGCAGTATCCTCACCGGCAAGACCAGCTGCACATCGGTAAAAATAAAATAGTGTTTGTCACATGAGCCGACTACAACTGGCGTAGACCTGCTTGCTTACGAGCCCTTCCCAACTATGCAGAGTTTTAAAATAAAATAGTAACACGAGAAATAAAAACGCATAAATGGAGCTATTACCAGATCAATGTGCAGAGGTATGAGGTAGATATGTACATGAAGGCAGGGTAAAGTGACTAGGCATCAGGATAGATAATAAGGTATTTGAGGTAGATATGTACATGAAGGCAGGGTAAAGTGACTAGGCATCAGGATAGATAATAAGGTATTTGAGGTAGATATGTACATGAAGGCAGGGTAAAGTGACTAGGCATCAGGATAGATAATAAGGTATTTGAGGTAGATATGTACATGAAGGCAGGGAACTAGGCATCAGGATAGATAATAATAATAAGGTATTTGAGGTAGATATGTACATGAAGGCAGGGTAAAGTGACTAGGCGTCAGGATAGATAATAATAATAAGGTATTTGAGGTAGATATGTACATGAAGGCAGGGAACTAGGCATCAGGATAGATAATAATAAGGTATTTGAGGTAGATATGTACATGAAGGCAGGGTAAAGTGACTAGGCGTCAGGATAGACAATAATAAGGTATTTGAGGTAGCTATGTACATGAAGGCAGGGTAAAGTGACTAGGCATCAGGATAGATAATAATAAGGTATTTGAGGTAGATATGTACATTAAGGCAGGGTAAAGTGACTAGGCATCAGGATAGATAATAATAAGATATTTGAGGTAGATATGTAGATGAAGGCAGGGTAAAGTGACTAGGCATCAGGATAGATAATAAGGTATTTGAGGTAGATATGTACATGAAGGCAGGGTAAAGTGACTAGGCATCAGGATAGATAATAATAAGGTATTTGAGGTAGATATGTACATGAAGGCAGGGTAAAGTGACTAGGCATCAGGATAGATAATAATAAGGTATTTGAGGTAGATATGTACATGAAGGCAGGGTAAAGTGACTAGGCATCAGGATAGATAATAATAAGGTATTTGAGGTAGATATGTACATGAAGGCAGGGTAAAGTGACTAGGCATCAGGATAGATATAAATAATAATAATAATAATAAGAGTAAAATAAAGAACAGAGTAGCAGAAGCAAATGAGTGTAAAAGTGTGTATAATGTGTATGTACATTGCATTCGGAAAGTAGTCAGACCTCTTGACTTTTTCCATCGTTTGTTACGTTACAGCCTTATTTTAAAATTGATTTAAATTGCTTTTTTCCCTCCTCAACCTACACACAATACCTCATAATGACAAAGCAAAAACAGGTTTTTAGAAATGTTAGCAAATGTATAAAAAAAAAAAATGGAAATATTACATTTGCATAAGTATTCAGGCCCTTTACTCAGTGCTTTGTTGAAGCACCTTTGGTTGCGATTACAGCCTTGAGTCTTCTTGGGTATGACACTACAAGCTTGGCACACCTGTATTTGGGGAGTTTCTCCCATTCTTCTCTGAAGATCCTCTCAAGCTCTGTCAGGTTGGAAAGGGCGAGTCGATGCACAGCTATTTTCAGGTCTCTCCAGAGATGTTCGATCAGGTTCAAGTCCGGACTCTGGCTGGGCCACTCAAGGACATTCAGAGACTTGTCCCAAAGCCACTCCTGCATTGTCTTGGCTGTGTGCTTAGGGTCGTTGTCCTGTTGGAAGGTGAACCTTCGCCATAGTCTGAGGTGCTGAGCGCTCTGGAGCAGGTTTTCATCAAGGATCTCTCCGTACTTCGCTCCGTTCATCTTTCCCTTGATCCTGACAAGTCTTCCAGTCCCTGCCGCTGAAAAACATCCCCACAGCATGATGCTGCCACAATGCTTCACCGTAGGGATGGTGAAAGGTTTCCTCCAGACGTTATCCTTTGCATTCAGGCCAAAGAGTTCAATCTTGGTTTCATCAGACCAGAGAATCTTGTTTCTCATGGTCTGAGAGTCTTTAGGTGCCTTTTGTCAAACTCCAAGTGGGCTGTCGTGCCTTTTACTGAGGAGTGGCTTCCGTCTGGCCACTTTACCATAAAGGACTGATTGGTGGAGTGCTGCAGAGATGGTTGTCCTTCTGGAAGGTTCTCCCATCTCCACAGAAGAACTCTGGAGCTCTGTCAGAGTGACCATCGGGTTCTTGGTCACCTCCCTGACCAAGGCCCTTCTCCCCTGATTGCTCAGTTTGGCCGGGTGGCCAGCTCTAGGAAGAGTCTTGGTGGTTCCAAACTTCTTTCATTTAAGAATGATGGAGGCCACTGTGTTCTTGGGGACCTTTAATGCTGCAGAAATGTTTTGGTACACTTCCCCAGATCTGTGTCTCGACACAATCGTGTCTCGGAGCTCTACGGACAATTCCTTCGACCTCATGGCTTGGTTTTTGCTCTGACATGGACTGTCAACTGTGGAGCCTTTATATAGACCGGTGAGTTTATTTCTAAATCATGTCCAAACAATTGAATTGGCCACAGGTGGACTCCAATCAAGTTGTAGTTACATCTCAATTTGGAGTGTCACGGCAATGAGATTTCTGTATTTCATTTTCAATAAATGTGTTCAAATTTCTAAATATGTTTTAACTTTGTCATTCTGGGGCATTGTGTGTAGATTGGTGAGGAGGGATAATCTATTTTAAATTCAGGCTGTAACACAAGAAAATGTGTAAGTCAAGGTGCCTGTACAGTATTACTTTAGTGCATTGTTGCAAACGATGCATGTTTTGGAATATTTGTATTCTGTACAGGCTTCATTGTTTTCACTCTGTCAATTAGGTTAGTATTGTGGAGTATCTACAATGTTGTTGATCCATTCTCAGTTTTCTCCTATCACAGCCATTATACTCTTAACTGTTTTAAAGTCACCATTGGCCTCATTGTGAAATACCTGCGCGGTTTCCTTCCTCTTTGGCAACGAAGTTAGGAAGTATGCCTGTATCTTTTGTAGTGACTGGATGTATTGATACACCATCCAAAGTGTAATTAATAACTTTACCTCATCTCATCCCTTTGAGCATGGTTGTCATTCAAAAATCATGTTAAACACTATTATTGCACATAGTGAGTCCATGCAACTTTTGTGACTTGTTAAGCAAATTATTACTCCTGAACTTATTTATGCTTACCATAACAAAGGGGTTGAATATCTATTGACTTAAGACATTTCAGCTTTTCATTTTTTAATTAATTTGTACACATTTCTAAAAACACAATTCCACTTTGATATTATGTGAGTGTGTGTGTAGGCCAGTGACAATATCTCAATTTAATCAATTTTAAATTCAGGCTAACACAACAAAATGTGGAAAAGGTTAAGGGGTGTCAATACTCTGAAGACACTGTATGTTTATGGTCACAACTCAAAACAACCCCTCTGAGTTTTGATGATGGGGATGTTTTTTATGGTTGCACCAATCTAGATGACTGTTACTAGTAACCTCATGCAAAAGTTTAGTGGCTTATTTGAAAAGGGTATTTGTAGAGCTCTGACGTTTACAGACTGCCTCTCATCAATCTGTTTTTCATAATGATTTTAACTTGACGTGAACACTTACATATAGATGTTTTTGTCTATCCTGAGACCTATAACAAGCTAAAGAGTTTTATAAGAGGAACATTAAAGATGAATGCTTTCTCTCTGTCCCCTCAGACATTTGTGATCCATGATGTGGACACCCTGTGGCAGGCAGAGAGTGGTTTAGTATGGGACCAGTTAGTCCCGGGTGCGCCCCTCACCAAGGAGATAGGGGTACACGTGTTCTACCGCTGTCAGTGCACCACGGTGGAGACCGTACAGGAGCTCACTAAGTTCGCCAAGAGCATCCCAGGGTTTGTGGAGCTCTTCCTTAACGACCAGGTACGGCACATAGAGATGTATACAAAACATTAAGAACACCTGCTCTTTCCATGACAGACTGACCAGGTGAAAGCTATGATCCCTTATTGATGTCACTTGTTAAATCCACTTCAGTGTAGATGAAGGGGAGGAGACAGGTTAAAGAAGGATTTGTAAGCCTTGAGGCATGGATTGTGTATGTGTGCCATTCAGAGGGTGAATGGGCAAGACAAAATATTTAAGTGCCTTTGACAGGGGTATGGTAGTAGGTGCCAGGCGCACCGGTTTGTGTCAAGAACTGCAATGCTGCTGGGTTTTTCAAGCTCAACATTTTCCCGTATGTATCAAGAATGGTCCACCACCCAAAGGACATCCAGCCAACTTGACTCAACTGTGGGAAGTATTGGATTCAACATTGGCCAGCATCCCTGTGGAACGCTTTCGACACCTTGTAGAGTCCATGCCCCGACGAATTACATTTTACATTTTTACATTTTCATCATTTAGCAGACGCTCTTATCCAGAACGACTTACAAATTGGTGCATTCACCTTATGATAGCCAGTGGGACAACCACTTTACAAATATTTTAATACATTTTTTGGGGGGTGGGGGTAAGGGGGGTAGAAGGATTCCTTTATCCTATCCCAGGCATTCCTTAAAGAGGTGGGGTTTCAAGTGTCTCCGGAAGGTGGTGAGTGACTCCGCTGTCCTGGTGTCGTGAGGGAGCTTGTTCCACCATTGGGGTGCCAGAGCAGCGAACAGTTTTGACTGGGCTGAACGGGAACTGTGCTTCCGTAGAGGTAGGGGAGCCAGCAGGCCAGAGGTGGATGAACGTAGTGCCCTCGTTTGGGTGTAGGGTCTGATCAGAGCCTGAAGGTACGGAGGTGCCGTTCCCCTCACAGCTCCGTAGGCAAGCACCATGGTCTTGTAGCAGATGCGAGCTTCAACTGGAAGCCAGAGGAGTGTGCGGAGGAGCGGGGTGACGTGAGAGAACTTGGGAAGGTTGAATACCAGATGGGCTGCGGCGTTCTGGATGAATTGTAGGGGTTTAATGGTACAGGCAGGGAGCCCAGCCAACAGCGAGTTGCAGTAATCCAGACGGGAGATGACAAGTGCCTGGATTAGGACCTGTGCCGCTTCCTGTGTAAGGCAGGGTCGTACTCTGCGAATGTTGTAGAGCATGAACCTACCGGATCGGGTCACCGCCTTGATGTTAGCGGAGAACGACAGGGTGTTGTCCAGGGTCACGCCAAGGCTCTTTGCACTCTGGGAGGAGGACACAACAGAGTTGTCAACCGTGATGGCGAGATCATGGAACGGGCAGTCCTTCTCCGGGAGGAAGAGCAGCTCCGTCTTGCCAAGGTTCAGCTTGAGGTGGTGATCCATCATCCACACTGATATGTCTGCCAGACATGCAGAGATGCGATTCGCCACCTGGTTATCAGAAGGGGGAAAGGAGAAGATTAATTGTGTGTCGTCTGCGTAGCAATGATAGGCGAGGCCATGTGAGGATATGACAGAGCCAAGTGACTTGGTGTATAGCGAGAATAGGAGAGGGCCTAGAACTGAGCCCTGGGGGACACCAGTGGTGAGAGCACGTGGTGCGGAGACAGCTTCTCGCCACACCACCTGGTAGGAGCGACCTGTCAGGTAGGACGCAATCCAAGAGTGAGCCGCGCCGGAGATGCCCAACTCGGAGAGGGTGGAGAGGAGGATCTGATGGTTCACAGTATCAAAGGCAGCAGATAGGTCTAGAAGGACGAGAGAGAGTTAGCTTTAGCAGTGCGGAGAGCCTCCGTGACACAGAGAAGAGCAGTCTCAGTTGAATGACCAGTCTTGAAACCTGACTGGTCTTGACCAGTTTTGAAACCTGACTGGTTTGGATCAAGAAGGTAATTCTGAGAGAGATAGCAAGAGAGTTGGCTAAAGACGGCACGCTCAAGAGTTTTGGAGAGAAAAGAAAGAAGGGATACTGGTCTGTAGTTGTTGACATCGGAGGGATCGAGTGTAGGTTTTTTGAGAAGGGGTGCAACTCTCGCTCTCTTGAAGACTGAAGGGACATAGCCAGTGGTCAAGGATGAGTTGATGAGCGAGGTGAGGTAAGGGAGAAGGTCACCGGAGATGGTCTGGAGGGGATAGGGTCAAGCGGGCAGGTTGTTGGGCGGCCGGCCGTCACAAGTCGCAAGATTTCATCTGGAGAGAGAGGGGAGAAAGAAGTCAAAGCATAGGGTAGGGCAGTGTGAGCAGGACCAGTGGTGTCATTTGACTTAACAAACGAGGATCGGATGTCGTCAACCTTTTTTTCAAAATGGTTGACGAAGTCATCCACAGAGAGGGAGGAGGGAGGAGGATTCAGCAGGGAGGAGAAGGTGGCAAAGAGCTTCCTAGGGTTAGAGGCATACGCTTGGAATTTAGAGTGGTAGAAAGTGGCTTTAGCAGCAGAAACAGAGGAAGAAAATGTAGAGAGGAGGGAGTGAAAAGATGCCAGGTCCGCAGGGGTCTAGTTTTCCTCCATTTCCGCTCGGCTGCCCGGAGCCCTGTTCTGTGAGCTCGCAATGAGTCGTCAAGCCACGGAGCAGGAGGGGAGGACCAAGCCGGCCGGGAGGATAGGGGACACAGAGAGTCAAAGGATGCAGAAAGGGAGGAGAGGAGGGTTGAGGAGGCAGAATCAGGAGATTGGAGGGAGAAGGTTTGAGCAGAGGGAAGAGATGATAGGATGGAAGAGGAGAGAGAGAGCGAAGGTTGCGACGGCGCATTACCATCTGAGTAGGGGCAGAGTGAGTAGTGTTGGAGGAGAGCGAGAGAGAAAAGGATACAAAGTAGTGGTCAGAGACTTGGAGGGGAGTTGCAGATTAGTAGAAGAACAGCATCTAGTAAAGATGAGGTCAAGCGTATTGCCTGCCTTGTGAGTAGGGGGGGACGGTGAGAGGGTGAGGTGAAAAGAGGAGAGGAGTGGAAAGAAGGAGGCAGAGAGAAATTTGTCAAAGGTAGACGTAGGGAGGTTAAAGTCACCCAGAACTGTGAGGGGTGAGCCATCCTCAGGAAAGGAACTTATCAAGGCGTCAAGCTCATTGATGAACTCTCCAAGGGAACCTGGAGGGCGATAAATGAGAAGGATGTTAAGCTTGAATGGGCTAGTGACTGTGACAGCATGGAATTCAAATGAGGAGATAGACAGATGGGTCAGGGGAGAAAGAGAGAATGTCCACTTGGGAGAGATGAGGATTCCTGTGCCACCACCCCGCTTACCAGATGCTCTCGGGTTATGCGAGAACACATGGTCAGACGAGGAGAGAGCAGTAGGAGTAGCAGGCTGAAGCTGTTCTGAGGGCAAAAGGGGGAGGTGCAACTCCCTATTTGGAAGATGTTCCTAATGTTTGTTATACTCAATGTATATAGATATCTACCTATTTCTATGGTATGGCAAGGTCTTTGTCACGATCGTCTAATGAGGAGGACCAAGGCGCAGCGTTGAAAGTGAACATAGTATTTATTAAACTGATCACCCGATCAAAATAACTGACGAAAACGTGATGTCTCTGGTTACATAAACAAACCAAAATGAGAACAAGAAACCACAACACAAAGTGAAAAGACCGATAGTTAAATATGGCTCCCAATCAGAGACAACCAGCTGACACTCGTTGCCTCTGATTGGGAGTCACTCAGGCCAACATAGATATACAAACATAGACTTACACACCCTGGCTCAACATAACATAGTCCCCAGAGCCAGGGCGTGACAGTACCCCCCCCCCCAAAGGCGCGGACTCCGACCGCGCCAAACAACCACAACAGGGGAGGGACCGGGTGGGCACTCCGCCTCGGCGGCGGATCCGGCTCCGGACATGACCCAGGCACGGGTTGTGCTGGACTGACGACGCGCACCCCTGGCTTGGTGCGTGGAGGAGGAACGGGCCTTACCAGGCTGACGACGCCCACCGTAGGCTTGGTGCGTGGAGCAGGGACCGGCCGGACTGGGCTGACGAAGCACACCACTGACTTGGTGCGGGGAGCAGGAACGGGCCGGACCGGGCTGACGAAGCGCACCCCTGACTTGGTGCGGGGAGCAGGAATGAGCCGGACCGGGCTGACGACGCGCACCACAGACTTGATGCGGGGAGCTTGGATGGGCCAGACTGGGCTGGCGACGCGCACCACCGACTTGGTGCGGAGAGCAGGAACGGGCCGGACAGGGCTGACGAAACGCACCACAGACTTGGTGCGGGGAGCAGGAATGAGCCGAACCGGGCTGACGACGCGCACCACTGACTTGGTGCGGGGAGCTTGGATGGGCCGGACTGGGCTGGCGACGCGCACCACCGACTTGGTGCGGAGAGCAGGAACGGGCCAGACCGGGCTGACGACGCGCACCACTGACTTGGTGCGGGGAGCAGGAATGGGCCGGACCGGGCTGACGACGCGCACCACTGACTTGGTGCGGGGAGCAGGAATGGGCCGGACCGGGCTGACGACGCGCACCACTGACTTGGGGCGGGGAGCAGGAACGGGCCGCGCCGGGCTGACGACACGCACCACAGGCTCGATGCGAGGAACAGGAACAGGCCGGACCGTACTGGGGACACACACCACTGGCCCTACGCAGGGATCAGGAACGGGCCGGACCGGACTGGTAACACACCCCAGTACCTCTCGCCGTGCCTCCACACTTTCCCTCTCCTCTGTGACCAGTGGCCCCCTTAACCTGGCGGCCTTCTCTGCCAACCCTCTGCACCACTCTATCCCGTACTCCTGCTGCCCCGTCGTCCACGGCGTGAGACCCCCCTAAAAATTTTCTGGGCTTGTCTCTCCCCCGTGGACCAGGCCTCCATGGTTCTCGTCCAATTCTCTCTCCACTTCTCGTAATTCCAGCCTTTCTCCTCGTCACGCTGCTTGGTCTGGTTTTGGTGGTTTCTTCTGTCACGATCGTCTAATGAGGAGGACCAAGGCGCA